CTAGGGCTACTGCGCGGCCCCGGGCCTGGTGGGCGGTGGGGCTGGCGGCGGCGGGGCGCGATCGAGTGGCCTCGGGGAGGGGAGCGCGGCTCTGGGGACCCCCACCCTCTCAGAGACCCCAGTGGCAGCCCGGGAAGGGGGCGAGAGGGGCTCCGGTGGCTGCTTAGAGCCTGGAGCTGCCCCTGGCTCATCTGTGGGGTGCTGGGGCCACGCCCCTTGAAAGAAAGGGGTGTGTGTGTTAGGGGACGTGGACCGAGCCTCTGTCCCTGAGCCTGGGATCCGGTGGTGCCGCCCTCCGCGCCTCTCCACCTCCTTCCAAGCTGAGGCCGGTTCTCTGGGTCTGCGCGGGGGTGGGGCTCAGCTTTGCTACTCTGGCCCTGGGGGAGGGCGCCCCAGATGCCCTGGCGCCCTGCTGGTTTGGGGTATGCGGGAGAGACCAGGTGCTTCGCCCAGACTCTGCCCCGTCCCGTGCTAGAGGCGGACGCAGAAACCAGTGATTCCGCTTCAGAGTCAGGCAGCAAGTCAGCCTGGGAGGGGGACCCGGAGGCCCCGGAAGGGCATTTCAGGCAGAGGAGACGGCTTTGCGGAGGTCTGGCCGCCCCGGTGTGGCCGAGGTGTGTACTTGGGAGCGGGAGGCCCATGAGGGCTGTGGACAAAGCAGACAGCCCTTTGCTGGCCCCTGGTCCTGGCCTGCGTGTTTTAACCCCCTGGAGGGTCCCTGTCTGGAGCAGCTGGCTGGGAGGAGAGGGCTCCCAAGGGAAGGCCAGGTGCAAGCACTTGTTCTGAGGAGCAGGACTTCAGTGCCCCCAGATCCTAGTCCCATGGGACTTGCCGGGAGGGGGAGCAGGCGCCTGGGGACCACCTCCCTGGGCCTCTGTTGGGGGAGGGGGTGTGACAGGGGCAGCTCTCTCTGCCCTGATTGCTGACAGGCACCACTGACCACTGGGTAGGACGGCCGTCTTCTCCACCCCCACGCCCGACCTGTCTCAGCTCTAGAAGGATCTGGGGCTGGGAGGGGGCAGGGGTTGGGGCTGTCCTGTGAAGAGGCCTCTGAGGGCCTTTGTTTCTCAGGCAAGAAGTGGTGGTGGCCGCTGGGCCCCAGAGAGGGAAGGGGTGGTTGCCTGTCGCTCTCCCCACGCTCCGCTGGATGGCTGAGCCCATCCTGTGCGGGAGTGGAGCCTCTGGCCAGCCCGTCCGCCCGTGTGCTGGCCTCCGTCTCCCTGCTCACCTCCCATCCGCTCCCCCACGCCAGGGCAGCTTCTCCTTCCCAGGCAGGCTCTGACTAGGCCAGCCCAGCCTGCTGCCACACCAGACGCTGTGTTCACGCTCACGACCCCTCTGCGTGGTCCGGCGGGTTCCAGCCCGGGCCTTTGCTCATGCTGCCCCCCCCCCCAGCACATGTGCAATCCTTCTAGAGCAGCTGGAAGGGCCTCCACGGGCCACAGTGGCCGGTGCTGTGCCCCGCCGGCCAGTAGCACATTTCTGCTGGTGCCGCTCCCCCAGCCCAGCCTGGTCCTCCCCAGCGGCGGCTTTGGAATGAATGCATTTCTCCTGGGCAGACCAGAGGCCTGTGGGAGTCCAGGCTTCAGCAGGCGTGCTCAGAACTAGCTGGGTGACCTTGGGTCTGTCGGAGACCAAGCTCCGTATCTCTCAGATACGGGAAGTCACGCAAGTGTCTTCACCGGCCCTGGCGAGGCCTGGTCCTGAGGACCCCGCCACAGGCATGGGCCCCCGTCCTGGCTGCAGCCCTTGCCCGGGCTGGCCCTCCTGGGCAGCTCTGTTGGGGCAGGCAGAGTGGGCCCAAGGCCGGGCTGGAGTCTGGGTGGTGCTTCTTCAGCTGGGTCCCTCCTGTTTAATATAAAAAGTGGGTCCCGTAATTGCATTAAGACGTGTATAATTATCCCGGAGGAGGGGAAGCCCGGCCCTTGGTAATTGCAGGCCTGCTTTGAACTGATAAACGGTGAGTGATTCATGTTTTCTTTGAGTTCACAGGCACTCAGCCCAGGCCCTGCTGCCACCGCGAGGAGCCTGTTCTCCGGCTCCTGCGCCGGGAGCAGGGGCTGGGGACTCCTCTCCTGGCTGCCTGGGACGTCCCTGGTGGCCGGAGTTCTTGGGGATGCCTGGGTGGAGACCCTCGGGGAAGGCAGCCGGCAGCCTGCTGGGAGCTCAGCCTGGCTCCCTTACTGTGGGCTCCTGGCCAAAATCCCCGCTTCCGGAGCCTCGGCCCCCCCCCAACCCCTGCAGAGATTTGGGCTTTCAGTCGGCAGAGGGTGTGTGGGGAGTGAGGACGGGGTGCAGGAGTGGGTGCAGCTCTGCCGGGACCCCACCGTTCATTCATTCATCCATTGATTCATTCACTTATGAGTGTAAGCTCCCGGGCTGCCTCTGGGCCTTGGTGGGAGACCACAGAGCCAGGCTCTGCACTCCGCGGACCTGCCATTCTGGCGTGGGGAGCATCCGGGACCAACGTGTGACAAGACTGTTAGCACGTGGCACACTGCAGATCAAGGAGTGACGGCCTGAGAGGGGCGGCTGTGCCTTCAGCCGGCGGGTCTGGGGAGACAGCTGAGGCACAGGGCTGTGGGCAGGGAGGGAAGAGCATCCCGCGGAGGGGCCAGCCAGCCCAGGGCCCGGGGAGGCCGGGGAGCCCTGAGCTGCTGGGACAGACGGCCCTACAGCCAGCTCCCAGCCTGGGCTTGGCAGGAGGCACCTACACGTTCAACATCAGCTTACCTGCCTGTAAAACGTGGGGTGTTGTCTGGGGCAGAGTGAGCGCAGCCCCGCCAGTGCCCACCCACAGTGGGGGCTCAGGGCTGCTGTGGTCAGCTCCGTCCAAGAGTGGGGTGAGGCCATGGCTTATCTGGGAACGTGACCAGCAGAGCCAGGGCAGGACCCCTGCTGGCTCTGAGAGGGCACCCCTGACCTTCCAGCCTTCATCCTGGGGAGAGGAGCTGTCATCATCTCTGACCGAGGCTGGGAAAGAGGACCGACCCCGGCAGGGCCGCGAGGCTGTGGCGAAGCAGGGTCTACGTTTAACCCGGCCCTGCTGCCGACTTGTGGGCAGTGGGGAGATGAGACTTTCGAGAGGAAATGGGGCCACCCAGGATGTGGGGGCAGCAGTTTGCTGGGGGTAGGGGTGGGAGATGGAGGTACCCATAGCAGGGCTCCTGGGTCAGTCCTCAGAGTCCTCCCAGGCTGCGCTCAGGTCAGCCAGTGAGTGGCCCCAGGGTCAGTGTGGCCCAGCCTGCTTTCTGCCAGTGCTGAGAACAGCTGCCCGAGTGTCCTCATCTGCTGTGGGGCGGTACCCATCAGTAGGGCTGCCTGGGGCCTCGGGCAGAGGGGTTGTCACCCACCCTGGGAGTTTGGGGCTGGGGAATCTGAGTCAGGAGGTGATAGCC